GAGGCCAAGGGCCCCCTCAGGGTGCTGCACATCAAAGTCGAGAAGCCCGAGGAGGGAGATGGCGCGGGCTGCCGCGGGGACAGCAAAGAGTCAGGGGACAACTTCAGGTGCTCCCCAGCTCCGTGGGGGGGTAAAGAGGAAGCCCGTGTCTCCATCAAGAGAGAAAAGGACCATGAAGGGGGCGGCGGAGAAAGCCACAACGAGGTGAAGGTGCTGGAGAAGAGGGGGAATGGGAAGGAGCCCTGGAGAGGAGGTGCTGTCAAGGTGGAGCCGCCTGAGGAGGCCATTGAGGCCTGCAGGGTGAAAGTGGAAAAGGACGATGCCCCCGCGGTGGGCTCCCTGTGTGGGCCTGCTCATGCCAGCGCCAATGACCACAAGGCGCAGCCGGGTGAGGGGTTTGGGATCCTTCCTGAAGATCTGAAGATCCCAGTTGTGATTCACTCCTTACCTCCTGGGACCCGCATACAGATCCAAGGCCCTCTGCCGTCAGAGCTGATCCACGTGACTAAAGTGCCGGTGAAACAAGTGCCACTTAAAATGCAGTCTTTACTGGAGCCTTCGGTAAAGATTGAAACTAAAAATGTGCCCCTCACAGTACTGCCCTCCGATTCAGGTATTATGTTAAGAGAGCTTGAAAGGGTTCAGTAAGTGGCACACAGCTGACAGGTTATCGGACAGGAGAACACAAGTGGAAGGGTCATGTTAGAGAACCATCCCTGGAGTTTGTACAACTCTCTTGGTTGTCATACAAACAAACTTACAAACAACAAGCTTTTGTTGTGCAAACTTACTCTTCAGCATAAGATGTAAACATACGGGAGCACAGAGTTCTCCAGTGGTCTATTAAAATCAATGCAGTACTGTCCACTTGCTCCCTGGCTACATTAACCCCCTTATAACTGTTCAGAATTGCATTGAGCTGTGATTGTAAGTTTAAGGTCAAGAATCTGCTTGATTTTTAAAGCTGTGAAGCACTGATACGCCTCTCTGAGAAAATTTGGACATGTTAAATGAGGAACGTTTTGAAACATCTGGATTAGACGCTTACTATTTTTGAAAGATATCTAGGCTTTCAAAATCAATGACTTAAAATGAGGTTTTAATGATTAGAAAACTTTTGCCGTTTTTCAATAATGTGAAAGAGTTCGTTTCTAAGCCTTTTTCACAGAGGAAATTGCTTGTTCAGGGATCAGTTGTGAGGGGTCTGGGGGTTCATCATGTCACCAGCTCAATTTAAATACAGTCTGTGTTTACAAAGTAAAGCCAAAGCTGGGTGTCATGTCACAGTCATTTGGTAACACAGATTCCTCCAGCAAAATGAGTGTCTGCATCTGAGAAAAGAGTGAGAGAGAGGAAAAAAACCCACCCAGCCAGAAACCCAGAGCAGCAACAGCCTCAGCTGAGAAGCCAGGGACTGCACAGGTGTGGGACTAAACTGCCATACCATCATTAGATCTGGTCCCTGCATCATTAGGGCTTTGGATACATAGTTCTGGTGGTGACGAAAAATTTGCAATGGTATGGTCTATGCTATATAATGTTTAGTTTAGAAATTCGTAAATTTATGAATTCATAAGAAAACAATCTAGCCAAGCTAAATCCAAACCAGTGTGTTAGCAGTCCCATATGATTCATATTTTAAAAAAAAACCAAAAAACCAACAAAAATATGTAAATGAATCCTTATGCAGTGGTTCAGTGAAGATTCGTGGAGGATACTCCCTTAGCCATAGTTATTTTTCTAGGAACTGCTTTCCAAATGTACATCAAGTTTCATGTGTTCCAAAGCTCTAGTGATTCTTTTGACTGTTGCCAAATACCGTCTTGATATACTATTGAATGTAACCTGTATTACATATATTGCCTGGAAGATGATCATTTTTCCTCGTTTTATTGCATAGGTATGCCAGATACTCCATTTAGCAAGGACAAAAGTGGCCATGTAAAGCGTCCAATGAACGCATTTATGGTGTGGGCTAGGATTCATCGGCCCGCCCTAGCAAAAGCTAACCCAGCTGCCAATAATGCAGAAATCAGTGTTCAGCTTGGATTGGAGTGGAGCAAACTGACTGAAGAGCAGAAGCAGCCCTATTACGATGAAGCTCAGAAAATAAAACAAAGGCACAGAGAGGAATTTCCTGGTAAACGTGTATCAATTTACCTGAATTTTTTAGAAGTGCAAGATTTTTTGGAAAAAAAAAAAATCTCTTTCATTAGAGCAAGTAATAGAGTTAGAAAAATATTACAAAAATTTCAAGCATAAACTCCTTCTGTCAGCTTCCTAGTGCCTGAAAGCATATTATTTTTTTTAAGTACCCAAAATGATGTTTCATCCTTTGTAGCCTCTAATGTTTCTTATGGTCTTAGACCAGCAGCAGCTCTTCTGAATGCTTTAGTAGTCTGATGGCCAGATAGTGAATTTATTGTGAACGTAGCCCACTACATCATTTTACATGCTCCAGAAAGAGCTGCCCGGGTGGCCTGTGGTGACACATGCGTCCATTCCTCAAAGGCAGGAAAGGGAAATGCCAGAGGAACTACAAATGGCATTGTATTCTGTGAGGTTCTTCAACATGTAGACTTGGGATTGACAAGTAACGGTGTGGAAGATGATGTTTCTCAACCTCTTGTCAAAAGGGTTAAAAATTTGTACCCTTAACAAATTCATTTCTCCATAACACTGCAGTTCAATAAAACAGAGCGTAAGTACTTTGAACACACTTTTTAAAAACTGTTCAGATACCAGGTGTCGTAATCCTTTCTGTTGTCATAATCCTGCTAGTTCGCGATTATGGCTAATCCTGGTAGACAAGATCTGATGAATCCGTCATAAACAAGCAAAAGATAAGAGCAGCACTCTCCCTCTCTCCCTACACTCTTCAAAAAAAAAAAAAAAAGTGTTTCTTTAAAGTAGCATTAAAAGTTAGCCTGTGTAAGAAAGAAAGCTGCACAGTGTAAATTCATAATATATTTATACATCTGTTAGTGTTTGATTAATGTTGTAAGTCAAAAGCAAATGTACTCCTCCAAAATCTATACAGGATTCCTAGTGGGTCATATTTTCCATTGACTCTTGTAACCTGCAGGTATATGTGAGACGTAAGGGATTAAGCAAACAATCAGGAAAGATCCACATTTTGAATACATTCATGATTTCCTTCTGCACTGAAAGCCCATGGTACAGTGTCATGTTGTCCTTAACATGCTTTCCTGAGCTGTGCCACGTCACTCCCCACTGTTCTGCATTTCTTTGTCTCACAGACAGTTACCATTTAGTAATGTAAAAACAATGCCCAAATACATCCATTTTATTTCCACCTCTGATAAAATGCCCCTTTTGCTAACTCACTGAAACAAAGGGAGTTCTGCCATTGACTATAGGAGCAGGTTTTGGACTCCTTTTTTTTTTTTTTTTTTTTTTTAGATACTTCAGAATTATAGATATCATAGCTTTACATAACAAATGAAACCATCCCAAAAATTGGATGTCTGCATCTTTTTTCATCTCTGACAGGTTGGGTTTATCAACCACGACCAAGCAAAAGGAAGCGTTTTCCACTGCCTGCCTCTGCTGTATTTTCCAGCACTTCTCAGAGTATCATCACTACAAGTCCAGCTGGCATTTGTCCCTTCCAGTCACCTGCTTACTCTGTTGTCATCCCCAATGTTAAGAACGGTATTGGACATCCAGTCTGTGAGTTTTCAGTAGTGAATGATTCTAAAAAATTGGAATTTACCTTTTGTAGTGAAAGTTATAGATATAGTAGTGTAGGTATAGTTAAAACAAATGTTCGGTCTTTCTTGACACCACTGTTTCTATCAGTCCTCCTCTGCACTGCTCCTCTGCCTCCTAGTCTCTACCTACTGTTTCCTCAGCCTCTTAAATTCTTCTGGTTTCTTCACTGCCCACAGATCCCTGCTATTGTCTTTTAGCTCCTGGTTCCCTCCTCATACCTCTTGGTCTTTTTGGCTCTCTATTGCTCAACACGTGTTTCCTGTTGAGCTACAGCTGTTTCTTCTTCTTGTACTGTCTCCACCTCACACACGTCTTACCTCACCAGGTCTACTGTGCTAGTGCTCAGCCCTGCTCTACTAAGCCTGAAAAGCTCATT